ACGCTAAAGTAAAATCTAAAATAGTTCTACCTTCTTCATTAGTTACTCCAAAACCGTAGCCACCATGAGTATTTATGAAGTCTTCTACCACTCTACCGACATGTCCAATTAAATCTCCTCTAATAAAAATTCTTTCTTCAAGAGGTATCATTTATATTAAGTCTTCTAAGTCATTTCAAAATTTATCTTTAGACCATGTATCTAAACCTGCTTGAGGAGTATAAACACTTATAATATTAAAAATATTAGTATCAATGATAATCTTAAGGGTTATAATTTTATCTCCAACTCTACTAATTTTTATAACATTATCTTTCAAACTCTTATCTATAATTACCTCTATAATTACACCTACACAATTTCTAGTTTGACTCTTACCAGAATATCAAATTTTAAAACTTAAATTATCAATCTCCTTAGTTTTTTCTCCATCCCACTTAGTTTCTTGAATACATAACATATTAATTTTTCTATGAATCATGATATCAACTAATTCCATTTATTTACCTTTGAGAGAAAAATGAGATAAATTTAAGATTATTAAAAATGATTTTAATTTATTAAAATTAAATGAAAATATGACACTAGATAAGACGCAATGGAGAAAAAGGATTTATGTAGCAGACCCCACTTAGTGGGATAAAGGTATTGTTGTTGTTGTATTATTAATATTATTATTTTATTACGTAATGTAACAAATTATCTCCTCTAGCAGCTAGTGTTATAACCAACATTTGATTTGAAAGGGATAATTACATACAAAGCACCTGAAACATTGCTATTTACAAATCAAGCACCCAAGCAATTTTTTGAATGACTAAACCAATGCATTTACTCGCGCCACAAACCATTGAGAATTTGATAAAAATGAGAAATATGAGTTGAGATTTTATCATGAATTTCGATATCTGATTGAGAATTTGAAAAATGAATGAAAGAGAGTGCTTAATTTGTAAATAGCAATGTTTCGGTTGCTCTATATGTAATTGACCCTTAGTATTGAAGGAAGCAGCTTACGGCTATTTTTCCATTGTTTCTTTGCCTTATTTTTTTAATTAATATGGATCGTTGAGAATTTGGACATTTAGTTTTTCTCCAGTACTTTTTGTCCTGGCATGAACTTGTGTATTGTGAACACTATAATACTTATTTTCCATTAGCTCACTGCATTATTGTATAAGAATAATGGTTTTTACCTATTTCTGCTATGCTTCAAATGCTGGTTTATTATTAAATTTTATTATTAAATTCTTAAAGGTTAAATTATTCTATTTACTTTTTTGCATTATATTGTTTCTCAAACTGTTTTTATTTAATGCAGTGCCGCTGTGAACTCACAAACCCGGGAAGAGGTTGCCATTAAAAAAATTGGCAGTGCTTTTGATAATAGAATTGATGCCAAAAGAACCTTAAGAGAAATAAAGCTTCTACGACACATGGATCATGAAAATGTAAGTTCCTCCATTCTAGTGGTATTTATATTGTTCTTTTCTAAGCCCATTTATCATGTAAAGTTACATAATCGTTTTTGCGACTTTGAAATGTAATGAAATTTGATCTATTTTCCTTTAGATTGCATGTTGCAATACTTGTGTCATTATTAAGGCTGAACCTTGCTATCCTTTAAGGGTGTGTAACGAATTGAATGTTGATTGCTACAGAAAATCAGATTAAATGTTCTTAGTTCATTCTTTTGAGCAATCATCCTGAGTCCCAAATAAATAACTATACTTGTTTTTTTGTTTTGGCTTCTCTTAATATTAGATAATTTTGGATGATAATTATACCTTTAAGCCAACAACATGATAATGTAGGCCTTTACTTATCACCCTGTGTAAATATATGTATTTGTAGTACAAATATTTATAGAGATTTGAGGAAAATTGAATTGTCCAAGGAACTTGCATATGAAGTTCATGTTCTAGTATTTATATCATTTTTGCTGGTTGGTTATGGGCCTAGAATTAATAAAGCCTATTTTGATTTTAAGATTCGTTAGCTATGTAAGTATGGTACATTCTTTAATTGGAGGGAATTGACAATAGCCAAGAGATAATCAATAATCTATAAAATCTCAGAACATGCATTGATGCCAAATAGCTAGGGTTGTATACATGTGATCACTGAAGTAGAAAATGTGAACATAATATTTTAAGAAATTACTTATTGAAAGTTATAGTGAGGAATTTCTTTTGGAGATACATACTGAACAATTTAATGAGTTATTTTGTAGTTTCTTTCAAAAAAAGTTGATAGAGGTTATCATGAAGATGATGCATAAGTGTAAAAAGCTTTCGCTCCGAGTAGAATTGGAGAGATATGGGTGATATTGGAGTGGTTTGTATAACAAATCATTTCCAAAAAGCTTTAAATCTCATTGCAGAAAAAGCATTTTCAAATCAATATTCCAAATTAAAGGAAATGATTAGGATTGTGATAACTATAGTGAAATATAACATATGAGGCATATAATGAAGATGTGAGAGATGGAAATGAAAGTAAACCTAGAACAATTATGTTGATATCTAAAATCCAATTTGGTTTTGTGCCAGGATGTTCCATTGTGTGGACACAAATTTGTTCCTAAGGAAACTAATAAAGAGTTATAGGGAGTACCGAAAAAACTTCAGATGATTTTATTAATAATAGATAAATATATGATCTAGTAATACAAGAATTGATTTGCTATCTATTATGGAAAAAAAAGTGTGCATGCTAAAAGTTTCTTGAATTTATTAAAGATATGTATGATGTGTATTACAATTAGTCGTGCACTAGCCTAAATTTTTTTTTTATCAAATATGGTTTTCATCAATGATAAGTACTATCGCTCGATTATAAGATAAATAGCAAGAGAAGACCAACACATGAGGAAAGCCACAAAATCCTCATGCTAGAAAAATGAAATATAAATTACCCATAATATCTAATTCTGAAAGTATAAATTACTAAAATTAAAAAATAAAAATAGAAAATATCAAAAGGAAAATTCCTAAAATTTCGACGCCCCCCTCTCAAGTTGGTGTATAGATATCTATCATGCCCAACATGCTTATAAGTAACTCAAAACTAGGCCTGAAAAATTTTTTGGTGAAAATATTTGCTATTTGTTGTGTTATCGGAGTGAAAGACATGCAAATAGCTCCACAATTAATCTCCTCTTTTATGAAGTATCTATCAACCTCTACATGTTATGTGTGATTATGTTGCATTAAATTTTCTGTAATTTAGATTTATTGACACATTACAACTTCATTGAAATGTTTATCGGGATCCGTAGTTCTTCAAGAATTCTCTTCAGCCATAACATCTCACATACTCCTTTAGCCATAGCATGATATTCTACCTTGGCACTACTCCTTGCCACCACATTCTATTTCTTACTCCGTCATATAACCAAATTTTCCCAGATATAAGTACTGTATATACGGACGTTGATCATCTGTCAACTGCTGAGCTCGCCCAATCGACATTGGTGTATGCCTTTATGTTCTATTGTATGGCCTACTAAAAAAGTAAACTCTTATATGTACTTTTTAGGCATTTGAGAATCTTGTTAACTTCTTCAAGGTGCTTCCCTAGAGCGAATGCGCAAGTTAACTTACCAAACATAAAACAAAGACGATATCTGGTCGTGTATGTGATAAGCATATCAAAATTTCCATCAACTTTTGATATCAAGTATATTCACTGGGCCACCTTCCTTCTCATATCTTGGTTTCTGATTTGGACTAAAGGAGTGTCTGCAGGCCTTCAAACTCTCATCCCAGTTTTTATTAGAAGATTAAGAATATACTTCCATTCAGAAAAAAAATCCCTTTCTTTAATTTATCAATCATCATGGCAAGGAAATATCTCAGAAATTTTAAGTCCTTGATCTCAAAAACTGATGAAAGTCCTTAACCAGTTCATATCGTATATACATCATCACATATGAGAATTATATCGTTTACATACACAATTAATATGACTATCTTCCCATCTTTTGAATGTCTGAAGAATATTATATAATCTCCACACTCTAGAATATACCTCTCTCTAACCTTTAACAAACAATATAAAATTTTCAAACCAAATGCTCAGAGACCGCTTCTACCCATATAAGGACTTTATTAATTTACACTTCATTTTGTCAAACTTCTCACTAAATACTGGAGGTGCATTTGTGTACACTTCTGCGAGGTCCCCATTGAGAAATGCACTTTTTATATCCAATTGTTGTAGAAGTCAGTCAAGATTAATTGCAAGTGATACGAAAACTTTTATAGAATTTAGTTTTGTGATTGGGCCGAATGTCTATAAGTAATCGATGTCATATGTCTGAGTGAATCCCTTGACAACCAGTCAAGTCTTGTGTTGTTCTAGAGAACCATCAAAATTATACTTGAATGCCCATTTGCATTCGACAAATTTATCTTTCTAGATAAATCAATCAATTCTTAGGTGTTATTATTCCATAGCTTTCATCTCCTTGAATATAACCTCCTTCCACACAGGAAATTAGAGAGCATTTTGCATAGTATTAGAAATCTCCATACAAAAAAAATATGGTAAAAGTCCAAAAAATGGGCGAGATTTTCATATTACACATAATGAGACGATGGATGTTGGGTGCTAAACTTCACCACCTTACAAACAACAATAAGATGATTTGAATCATTAAATTTAGAATTAGAGCTAGACTCTGGTTTATAACTAGAAGACTCAAAACTCGAAGATGAAGTGGATTGATCATACGGTAAAAGCTCAATGAGGATATTACTTAGAGAATTTATGGATTCTGGACAATGCAAAAGGATTACTCTTTCTTTTGAGTTATAATTTGTCACAAGTAGACAATGTCAAATGACATCAATATCGTTGTTTTTTTTTGTTTTCTCTTGGTTAATTGTTATAGGATTATGGATATCATAAGATGACACTGTAAGAAGATTTAATCCAAACTTGACTCACTTTCTTCTAATATAATATAGCTTGAATTTTCAGATTGAACAATCAAAGTTGGGGAGATATTATTTTGAGTCTTCAGTTTGCAGGAAGTTTTGAAAACCAATAGTCGAATCTTTATTTTATCCCTCCCTCCCTTGAAGTTGATGTGAAAACAAAAGTTGTAATTCAAAAAATATGACATTTATGGAAACAAACATTTTTTTTTAAATATGATCAAAATATTTATACTCCTTTTGGTTAGAAGCATAACTAATAAACACACATTTTATGACTCAAGATTCAGTTTTTCCTTAATTATGATTATGACTGTCAACAAATGCAGTACACTTAGATAAATTTAAAGGTAAAGAAGATAAAAACCAATTTTTGTTGGTAAATTGTATGAAAAACATCAAAGGAGTTCCAAAGTGTCACGACTCGGCCCGGGACTTTGGAATTAATCAAGATGAGAACAGACAGTCGGACGATGAGAACTAAGTTCTCTATATTTAGTTATTATTTAACAGTTCAAAGAGCCACTAATTAAATCAAATTAAGGGTCTGTTTGGGGCAGTTGCAGCTTATTTAATAATTTTCTGA